GTGCAGTTACCTCAAGAGTGGACGTATTAAATGATCGTCTTGGGCGGGCTGGAAGGTGTCAAGAGATTGTTGATGAAGACAAAATAAGTTATTGCAAATAAAATACTAAAAGAAAGGGTTTGGACTTTCTTGGTTCAAATAAATGATATGCCAAGAATCTGCAGGAAGCCTTGCAATAATAATAATATAATACTAGTAGCAGTAGTAGTAGCTATTGAGCTGAGAATTGTGTCGCTCTCAGCACTTGCCCTCTGCTAAAGGTGGTGGAGGCCGGGCGGGATTGTCAAAATTGGTTGACGGAATAAGAAGGAATCAATAATAACATATATATTTGTTTGTGTTATAGAAACGAATAATTGAGATGGGAGTGCGTTTGTAGGTTTGCTGGCTAAGCGCAGTAATGTGATTGGATAGGAGGGTGACTCTTTGTTGAATTCCTGTGTAAAAAAGAACTGGCTGTCCTTATGCTATAAGAAGATGTTCCCGTGAATATTCAAAAGGAGAAGCTACTTTGGTTGGTTCATTACGTTATTATTATTGTTATATTTTTTTTTTGGTTGCCTACCACGATGTCCAGGGCTGTATGTCCAGGACATCCAGGGCTGTTCGTTAATATATATATTAACACTTGATAATATAAGGATTATGTACGAAAGGGGCAACAGCCCTTGCATCTATCCTATTTGCTTCTATCAACATACTTGGGAAGTCATTTATTCAATCTATATCATTAACTAGTTTTGATGCAAAAAGTACTAGCCTATGACTTGCTATATTAGATGTTCTTTTCACTCCGCTGCTTTTTTTTTTTTGGCCCAACTGTTGTAGACAAAGATATTTGTAGTCGGTTGTGTAACCCTTTCATGTTTTATTTATGGGGTGGATGATAGGAATTGGGTGGAAGCGGAATAGAAATCCTATCTACTTGGTTCTTGCTTAGTTAAGCAGAAATCCATGTCCATACGTATTTCTGAAGTAAAAGTAGATGCCGGTTGATAAAGAAATTCTTGATCATCAGCTAATATGAAACTTGTGATTTGTAATAAAACACCGATTCGAATACAAGCGTGCAGATGTAAAACGCTTTTCAATCCTTAGACCTGGGAGAAAGATCTTATAGTAAATCTTTCATATGGACTGCGTTGACGAATGGGACTAGTAGTTCCGTGTGAAAGCGCTCATTGCAGCCGACAGAGGGACTACGAAAGCACTTTTTGACTGTTCGATATTACACACACCCACTTGATTCTTGGATGGCAGGTATACGGCTGCAAACGTCAAAATCAACTCATCGAGTGGTGGTCGTGCCAGCAGCAATAGCACCCAAAACCTCCACTCCTCACTCTCCACATAATGATAATGGATAGAGAGATTATTAGCGTTGCAATGCCCCCATCTATCTGCCTGTGGAGGGCGTAGACAGCACCCCAATCTAGTCGCATCCAAAGTACTCCTCCGTCATGATGGTGCGGAAATGGAATAATAGAAGTGTGCGGCGGGGAAATCGGCCGGGGGATGGCCTACATGGGCCGGCCAACCACCGCCGAAATGATCTCAATAAATATTCCATCTACGTCACTATTCCATCTTTCTGATCCTGCGCTAGCTGGAGCAGGAACAGATGTGAGAGACAGGGACATTTCTCTCTCTGAAACATGCATAAAAGTCGTAATGCTTGTGTGTCAGTGTCAGCAGTATAAGAGTCGAAACAAGGATTCTTTTCAGAAGAATTGAACTTGGTTTTGTATTAGGCAACTTTCCTCAATTAGTATCAAGCATGATTTCTCTGTGGAACAATACATGTATATCCAGGCGTATAAAATACATACACACCATCGAAATGCACAATTTTCGTGCTGTGTGAAATTTGAGTTGACGAATTTTCAGACCTCTGGCGACCAAGTAATGTATCGTGTTGGTCAGAAAGGGGAAAAACACAACGTCAAATCATCCGCAAATTATCTATCGCCTTTGATGTTTTCCTTTATTTTTTGTTCAAATACAAAAAGGTCAGAAATATATATATATGTTATCAGCTTTCTCATTTTTTAAAGCAGAATTGCTTCTGGACATGATCGCAGTAGGTGAGAGCGATTAGAAAAGTCAAACGGATGAATTGTCCGATTACACGCTATGATTAGGGGTGTTCGGTAATCGGGGGAATACGCTAAAGAAAACATTTTGGTAATTTGGAAATCAATTTTTTTAATATTTATCATCCAAACTTTAGTTTGATAATTTAGATTAGAGAACTGGTGATTCAGGAATATTCGAAATTCGAAATGTCAACAGTTAGTTAAATTTTCTTAAGAAATTATTCAATCAACTTAACTCGAACAAACATGATATGCAAAAAAAAAAAAAAAAAAGGGTTTGTAATCCAAAGTCCTAGCTCGTAGTCTTAATTCTTAAACAAAATTGAAGTAAACAAGAATTTGAAATTTAATTGTCAAACTAAACTCTATCATGTCAATTTTCATCAAAATTTGACTTTCAAATATAGTTATAGTTAAGTAAGCTAATTAGTATTTAGTAATACGATTAAGAGTTACTCTTATATTTAGTAATATATATATATATATAACATTATATTATAAAATTTTTTGATAATTCGACAGGTAATCGGTAATTCGATAATGTATTGTTAACGTCTATTCCCGAATCGTTAATTCGGGGAAATTATATTTTGATTTTTTTGAATTCCGTTTTATCGATATTCGAAATTCGATCTAGATTGGATCAGCCAATTATTTATTTATTTTTTAAATATGAACACCCCTAGTTATGAATCCACTGTAGTTAAATTATGCCGAAAGGAGTTTTCAATTTTCCTAGTCTTTTTTCAAATGTGATGCACTGATCCATCACATTTGGACTTGATTTCCCACCGGTGAAATAATATACATGGCACCGCCTTAAAGCGACTTTTATTGGATAACCCGTATCAATCATTTAGCGTGGGATCTAACACTCGTGAATGTTATTTCCTTTAAGCACGTCATGATTCTTATTTTTTATTTCATTGGCGGGTCAAGTTTAAATTTTACTCCGCGTTGAAAATTGAAATTTTCAACAGTGACTATCCCCTAAAAGCACGTGTCCTAGATGGATTTATACCTTTGTAGTATGTATCCTGTCGTTAATTAAAGTTGAAGCACCGAAGATTTGTTTTCAGTGGTGGTAGTTCAGCACTCTATTGCTCCAATTTCTGCTAATCATATGGTCATTCAACAAACTGATTTGGGGGGAGAAAAATGCTGTAGCACATATTCTGCACGAGCAAGCAACAGACTGATTTGTAAGGTTAAAATCTTAACTCCCATCACTCGCCACTATATATGACTTGTCACTTTAAATGACTTCTTCTAAATCCGTGCGAGTGCGTAATGCACCCGTATGGTGCGATCGTAGTTCAATCCCCATCAGTACTCTAACAGACCAGTCGGGTCCTTTCTTGAAATACGTTCAAGTAGAAATAAAAGTAAGTATAGGTTAGATAAGTAACGACTGATAAAAAAAAAAATAAAATGCAGAAGATTACATCATGCACGAACGCACGTGAGTCTCTTTATTATGGGGAGAAAATGAAAGCATCCCGAACAAGATTTTGTGTTTCAAGATTTGAAGATGAATATAAGCGAATTTGCTTGTCACACTAATCAGCCTACAATTATATGAAAGGGTAGTTGACTTTTATATCATGGAAAAGGAAAACGTATTCAAGTTGTCTCAGCACAAAAAATTATCACCGAATCTTTTTGTTTTTTCTAGTTCATTTTGTCAACCAAATTTTTAAGCATGATTTTGGACAACTGCTGAATATCAAATTAGTCGGAATGACGTTAGCTTTTTGTGGGCTAGCATCAGAGATACACAAATGGAAGGACGTTGGCGTGTACGCCTATCAATCATGGCAGCAATTCTTGGACAAAATCTGGGCTTTGTGTCTTGGAATGTGGGCTTTTTGCTTGCAGTGTGCCCAAAATGGCTAAGGTAAGTTTGATCCGCAGTGAATTGTCGGATCTGGACCAGCTTTTGATATTACTACCCAAGTATCTACTTAACCTTATTTTTTTAAAAAATTAAAAATAAAATAAATTTTAGTCTGATCTTTAGTTAGTATGCTCTCTGTTGGGATCCTTCAGTTTTTTAAATATTATAAAATTTTTTTAAAAATACTCTAAAATATACTCTCAAAAGTAGTCTAAATTTTTTTTAAGTTTAAAAAAATTTCAAAATATATTTAAAAAACTCTACTACTCTTAAATATTTCAAAAATTTTTTAAAAAATATCCAAAAATATACTATAAAAACTCCGTTACAATAAATTTTTTTTAAAAATACCCCAAAAGATAGCTAATCCAAACGGAGTGTTACGCGATGAAAATGTTACACACAGAACTTTTAGTGGCATTTGTTTAGGAATCGTCGATGCTTGAAAATATAGGAAATCTCAATAAGCAAGCAAGGCAGAGATTCATGCGTCTTTTATGAGTATTACCTTCATGTGCACGCGATTATTATTTGTTGAATCTCTTACCGATGGTTTGGTTTGTTGGAGAGTTTTATCATAGCGTTTGGGTCTCGAGTAGAGAGAGTAGAGGTTGTATGAATTTTTGTGTGGGCAACAATCGGAAATTAGTGCACCTATCCGGTGCGATGGTGATTTAATCCTCACCGGCCCCTAGATCCAGTTGGGTCTCTCCCTTATATTAGAATAATGTAGCATACTATAAATAAAAGTAACGATTGACAAAAAAAAAAAAAAAAAATCGGACATTCGTTCACACGGCTCATCTAAATAAATCAAGTAATGCTACTAGTGCTATTATTGGCATAACTCTTAGTAATCATGGATTAAATTCCATTCCGTTGTGCTAAGTGACCCTTTCTGTACAGCTATTATAATTTGGACCTTTTTTGTATTGTTTTATGGAGTAACTACTTGCACATTATATATATCTAGAAAATGAGGCCAATTTTGAACCATATTTCAATACTCAATTGGTTTATCTAGAAAATGGAATTGGATTGCAATCAGTGTTACAACCGTGACGTGCGATTAACTTCAAAACAAATTTGACTTTAAAAAAAAAAAATAATTCAGAGTTCAAAATATGACTGCTACTGTAATTATCATATCATTCTTGGAAAAAAAACACACACACACACACACACACACACTCACTCGTCTCATCCTTCCGAAAACATGAAATCCTCAGCAACTCAAGGGAGGAAGATCGGACGTCTTGCCAGTCCCGGATGACGGATTAAATGCCCTGCTCCCGAAAAAGAAAAACCCTAAAGCGTGACCGGCAACAGCCACAAGAAACACACCTGCATTAAAACTCATCACTGCCAACATCACCATATAAGCCAGCCCAATCCTGATTCCGTACATCAGCGTCTGAACCAGCCCGGCGGCGACGTTGTTGTTAGAACTTTCTTTGATGAATTTGCAGGCGGAGAGCCACTCAACCACCACAGTAAGAACGAAAACAATCACAAGGGCTAAGACGTACATGCCCAAATTGTCGTATCCCGGCCAACCCGAAAAGAGGATCTCAGCATTTTTCCCCCAGAAGAAAGTCATGTGCATCATCATATGCCGATGGGGCATCATCGACATCCCTCCTCCTCCTCCTCCTCCGGTGCCGTTGTTCATAGCTCCCACCCCATGCATATGGCTACCATCGTTCATTCCGGCCATCATTCGAGTGTTTTTCTTCTTTTCTTTTCTACTTCGAGATTTGGAAAGTCTGAAACAGAACTGTCTGGCCTCAATTTTCCACTTAAATAGTTTGTTAGCAATAGTAGTAGGTTGTTACGGTACTCTTCAGAATTTTGCAGTACAACGTAGTAAAATTATTGTAGTACAAAAGACGGAGCTGGGCAGGACATTTTTCGTTTCTATCGTACAGCCAAACGATTTGGAATGTGTACCATAAATAGATAGGGTTGACGTCTGGGGTCTAGGCGTACGGTGATAAATTACTTCTTACTATTTATAAAAAAAATAAAAAAAAAAAAACCGGTTGCAGATGGGATTTCTTGAAAGTCTAAATACAAATAAAATGTTCCTATATTGGTATGTGTAATTCTTAAATGCGTTCATTATCCTTGCTTTGGATTGCAGAACCCATACAGAAGATAGTAAAATGACATTCTTACACACAAATTGGTTATTTTGATTTTGCTTTTGAAAAGTATCGAGAAGGCGCAAAGTCTCTTCTTCTGTCTATCAAATCTAAATATCCAATTTCAATTCTTTTTCTTGTCTTTTTAAGTTCCAAAATTACTTGCAAGGTGACAAGCTAATATTCCTGTTTCTTATTGATGTAGCCTAAATAAGTGGTTCTTTAGCATTAAGGAGTAATAATAAGTAACAAGCTGGAATATTTGCTTTTTATGAGATCATTGGTGCTATTAGTACTCCATTTCTCATGCTAAATCCAAAATTACGTTTTTCTTGATTTTCCATCAATATACATATGGGAATATTCCATTAACTAATATCGTAGTATTTAGCTAATATCGTCGGGTGATTATCGTACCATAACAGGAATTGCCACAACTCTCGAAGCAAGAAATAACAACCAACCCACCACCGTAAGGGGTATTGCCATAACTCTTCAAGCAAGAAATATCAACTACCTACCATACATATAAGGGATAGTTTCAGAAATCTCCGTTGGGGTTTATGACAATTTCACTCAGCACCCCTTATGTTTTGAAATCATAGATACCTCCCCTATTTTTGTTGTTTGGATAGCAAAACATCATAAATAGCAGCAATTTTAAACAAAAATACCCAATTTGCACTTGTGCTGAATAAAGAAAGAGAATAATAAAACAAACTATTGTAATGCCTTTTGTTCAAGTCCATCACTAGCATCACCACACAACACCAATAATGCTAGCTTTGTTGCTACTACAATAATCACGAACTACCAACTAACAACCAAATATTTAGGAAAGAAAAAAAGCATAATTTTAAAAATGTAAGGAAAGTATTGACATAGACTTTTTTCTTCTTTTAAAGCAAAAATTAACTTTTTCATTAGTCAGAAAAGAACATTATGCAAGGGTGGAAGGTGGCTTGAAGTACATTAAGGGACACTATTACAAAGCACAAATAGAAAAAGAAAGAAAGAAAAATGCTTGAAGAGAATGTGACTTGTGTTTGGTTTTGTTTTTCTTTAATTTTCTTAGGCCCTCTAAATTGCTATGTAAGTTGAGTCTTAAAGTAGGGCTAATATGGTCATTTTATAGTGACAAGGAAGGTAAGTATGGTATTCCATACAATTAGGGTGCTAAGTGCCTAGTCATAATTAAGTCTTCGCAGAGCTTTTCTAAATTATCCCCAAATATAATAGGGATTGCCATCAATTCTTCAATCAAGAAACATTGACACTGTCTCAGAAGCGAATCAACAGGAAAGGGGGTTACACAAATGCTTCTCCACAAGAAAACCAAAAGGGTGATTCAAGATCAACCCTTAAAAAAATACAAGAAAACTCGCAACAATTGGAACTTTTGATTAACAATTGATAAACAGAATTAATACAAAGGATCTTAGATATGCTCATTTATAGGTTTTAATAGTCTAAGCTAATGAAAAACAAAAATCAGGTGAAAACCCTAAAACGAACTAAAAATCAGCGTGAATCGAGTCAATGGCCTTGCCTTTCCTCTGATGCTGATCCAGTGCGTTTTCGTTCATATATTCCCTTGTCGACACTACAATTACAATTAATAATAGTAAAATTAAATAAAAAAAATGACAAAAATGACTACGACTATCCAAATTAAATAAGAATCCTTTTGACTTCTTGGACAATTTTATTGACACGAACGATAGGTTCCTTCTTCTCTAATCAAATGCTATTGGTTACTGGGGTAAAAAGGAAGAAAGAAAGAAAGAAAGAAAGAAAAGAGAGACAGAGTCCGCGTAGATGAAAGAGTATATAGCGACAGCTCGTAGCCTACCTACCAGTGACTTCCTTCTCCCCTTTTCCATTTCTAGCTCCTTCCTTCTTCCTCCTACCGCCTGTGCTGTGCTGTGCACTCCCTCATGTTTCTCAAGGCTTTCATGGACAAGGAAACATATTGCTTTTGGCTTTTACTAGTGAAGTTAGTTCTCACATGTTTCAGTGAGTTACCACTAGATAAATACTACTATCCTGTCAATTAATTAAGCGCTAATATCAGGTGTTAAAAGAGTCTCATCTTCTCAGGTGTTTAAAGAAAACTAAACTACAGGATCATTTTCAGAAAGAAACCAATCTACAAGATCAATACCAGCATTACCGAACGCGTTATTTTGGACGACAAATAACTTGTGCACATGAAAATTTCGCTTAGCATCACTATACAATTGCTAGGAGACAAATGAACAGAGCCCATTTTTATCTAAGCTAGAAGCCTAGAAATGGGATGGAATCTCGCGTTCTCCGGATAATTTAGCAGTTGAGGGGAGGAAGATCAGCGGGCTTGTGATATGGTGCCGTGCCCGATTCATCAAACACTAGGCTGCCAAAGATCAAGAAACCAAGAGAGTATCCGCCAACAGCCGCCACAAATACTCCTACATCGAAAGACATGACCTTGAGCATCACCATGTAGGCCAAAGCTATCCGGATGCTATACAGTCCACTCTGCATCAGCCCAGCAACAACGTTGCTGTTCTTGTCTGAGTTTATAAGTCGCGTATGAGATAGCCATTCAACTAGGATTGACATCGCAAACACCGCAAGCAAATGGAGTACGTAGACAACGATACTTTCCCAGTTCTCTCCATGAAAAAATGTCATGTGTGTCTCCATTTTTCTGCTCCCCACCTCAAAATTTTTTCCTTGGTGTTATCTCAATTAGTGTCCTCACAACCGAGATGATTAACAGTCGAATTATACATGGACAGATGCATCGTTCGCTCCTTTATAGTAATCTCTGTTGTTGGAGTGGACTGCAATGATAGTACATGCTGGTCGTGCTGCTGAATCATTACTTTTGTACTAGCAAAATGTCCGCAAGCTGTACGATCAACTCGGAGATGGCGGAACGGAACGAGAACGAAAAAGGGTAAAGCTGTCAATCGCTATCGGAGTCGGACTTTAATAACATCCCGTGCGACGCCAGTATATGTGAAAGTTATCCTTAACTCGCGATATATTCGGTTATGAGTTTAATTTGGATTTACTCTATCTAAATTCACTTATTACTCTTTAATTTTTTTAATATAATTACTAGAATCATTTAGTAGTAAAGTTAATTTGAAAATTACAATATTAAAACTACACATAAAGCTTTAAAAAGTTCATTAAAACACATAAAGCAAAAATTTTTCAACAATGATTGTATCTGATTCTTTTAAAATACATAAAAAATAATAATAAAACATGAAAAACATATTTATTTAATGAATCTAAGTCTCTTTCTACTAAATACTAATAGTCTCATTATACATTACATATTTCAAAATAATACATTTATAGTAATATATATTAGGGTGCATATATATATATATAATACATATATACACGTATAATAATAATAAATGTGAGCCGAGTTTGATCTTCCATAGGCTCAGCTGGATTAAAGCCCGTCCATTATTACTTTTTTTTTTCCGCGCCTATGAAATTGACTTTGGGGACTCAATAATTATGTTATTTCTTGGATATTAATTATGAAAATAGGTAGGTTGTTGACCTGGCCACCAACCACTTTGAACAAAGGTTCGTTGAGATGGGAGCTAGTTTCATTAATATTGTGATTGAAGTGCGATTAGCAGTTTTTAGATGTTGTACTACACGCTATTAATCGTATTGTGGTACGAGCAATGAGTTTTGTTGTTATAATTATGAACGTGATGTGATAATTTCGACAAGGTTCCTCCTATTTTGTCGAGGAGCAAGTTTTTTATTACTCCCACGTTGTATTTTGATAGTCTTGTTTTTTTTTCACACAATTTTAAAAAAAATAATTAATTTTATTAAAAAATAAATTTAAATTGCTATTTTTCTAAAATACCCTCACAGTAAATAGAGTACAATTTTATGAAAACTTGAATGGATGATAAAAAAAAATCAACTCTCATTAAAGGTATTTTAAAAAAATTAAAATACAACTACATTCTTCAATTGGAAAGTGAATTATAATTTGGGACAGATAAAAAAGAAAAATAGAACTATCAAAGTGGGACGGAGGGAGTATTAATTTTCCATGGAAAGGAGGGAAATGGCATGACAGGGGCGCGTGCACTGCACACCCTCCAGCCTAACTAATTGAATTGAAAAACAAAACAAAAAGCAATTTTCATTTGTTTACCAAAAAGGCTTTCCAAAACGCTGCTATTAATATTCTTTTCTGCAGAATTGTTCTTCTCTACGCCCATACATGCACAGCACCAGCTTCGGGAGCTGAAACCGGCTTTTGTAAGAGCATCAGTCAAAAATCAATCAATCAATCAATCGATAGCTCATTTGCAACGGTCTTCGTCCTTTAATTTATTCGCAACCAAGAAGGAAGGGCAAAGAAATGTCTCTGATTCGGTAACCGAGTCGACCCCTTCTCCCAAGTCCTCTGCCCATATTAATTGATTGGAACGAAACGCCAGAAGCCCGCGTCATTGAGAGGCTGACCTTCCGGGGGCTAAAAAAAGGAAGAAGCGAAAGTTGAAGTGGAAGAAGGCAGAGTCCTTCAGATTAGTGGAGAAAGAAATGCGGGGAGGGAAGACAAGAAAGACAATAAGTGGCACCGCGCCGAAAGAAGCAGCGGGGGAAGTTCTTGAGAAGGATCAGGCCGCCGCCGCCCTGGATAAATCTACTTTCTTAGTGGTACGTCTTCCAAGATAAACTGCGAATTTCAGAATAGAGGGCACCACATTGATTTACGACGTTGATAACAACATCCGCTCACTGCCATAATAACGTGACGTCCACATTGATTTTGGATCCAAGAGTGACAGAAGAGGGAACAAACGAGTAAACCGGAAGCAGGACTAAAACAATCTCCGAAGTCCAATTTCCATGGACATTAGCCGTCTAAATTCTATAGTTTACTTGAAATATACTTCCAAAACGCTTAGGTGACATCGTTTGCCAATTGTCAATTATGCGAAATTCTTCATCCAAACAAACAACTTTGTCACAGTTGGCATGGACCATGACGACAACTTCCAAGTCATTGCATTTCTCCTACGATTGACAAATCTATATGATGGGGGTAAAAACTGCAAGAAGGGAAGCAGATAATTCATCAGACCAAGAATAAAATTGGCGGAGGGCAACAGAGACGATGGCAACACTTAGAGATCAAAGGCGAAGCGTGGTATTGGTCCCGTATCCATACCAGGGGCACATCACACCAATGCTGCAGTTGGGGCAAATTCTTCATTCTGGAGGGTTCTCTGTCATAGTTGCACACACTAAATTCAATTCTCCCAATCCTTTGAACCATCCCGAATTCTTCTTTTTACCATTGAAGGACAATTTATCTGGCTTTGATACTTCTTTTGGTAATACATTAGCCGTTATCAGAGCCATAAATGAAAACTGCAGAGCTCCTCTACAAGGTTCTCTGGCTCAGATGATGAAAGATCAGGAGAAGCATGGCCAGGTCTGTTGTATCATTCATGATGCCATCATGCACTTCGGCCGCTCTGTGGCGAATCATTTGAATATATCCAGCTTGGTCTTAGGAACCTGCAGTGCTCTTTATATGCAAGTTTATCCTTCCATTCTTCAACTTCAGTCAGAACATTATTTTCCCTTGCAAGGTAAACTCATGCTATTTTTCAACTTTAGCTTGCTTCTTTAAACCATTAGTAATGCACTTAATTGTAGCACGGTGCTCCTAAATTTTTGCTGCTATTTGTCTCCAACTTTCGTTGCATGTGTCATGCCCTGGAAAGTTCCATGATCCTTATATCATAACTATTACTTCCTGTGTTAGTTTCAAGCATCAGTCATTAATATGATACCTTGACACCAAACTTGTTGCAGATTCTAAGATGCTGGAACCTGTACGTGGGCTCGGCACTCTTCGATTTAAGGATTTTGCAATACCCGCTAATATTGAAATACCACAGCCATTGCTGAAATTCTATGAAGATACAAGCAATTTGGGATCCTCTGTTGGCATCATCTTGAACACAACAGAGGAGCTGGATCCTATGTCACTATCACAGCTTAAGCAATATTACAAAGTTCCCTTATTCACAATAGGTCCTTTCCACAAAATGGCTCCAACCTCATCATCAAGTAGCTTCTTAAAAGAAGACAGGAGTTGCATGGCTTGGCTTGACAAGCAAGCTCCTCAGTCAGTCCTCTACCTAAGCTTGGGCAGTCTAGCGAGCATAGAAGCAAAAGAGCTAGAGGAGACAGCTTGGGGACTAGCCAATAGCGGCCAACCATTCTTGTGGGTTGTTCGGCCATCTTCTGTCAATGGCTCAGAATGGATTGAGCAGTTACCGAAAGGTTTTCAAGATGCAGTGTTAGAAAGAGGTCACATAGTTCAATGGGCACCTCAAAAAGAAGTTCTCGCACATTCTGCTGTGGGCGGATTTTTCAGTCACTGTGGATGGAATTCAATACTGGAGAGTCTTTGTGAAGCAGTTCCAATGATTTGCAGACCCTGTTTCGCAGACCAATTGGCAAATGCAAGGTACCTAACTCATGTTTGGAAGGTAGGCTTGGAACTAGAGGTGGTGGAAGACAGAGGAGTCATAGAGAGAGCCATAAAGAGACTGATGGTCGAAAATGAAGGCAAGGAAATGAGGCAGAGAGCGGCGGACATGAAACAAAAACTGGATATCTCGACAAATAAAGGTGGTTCATCACACAAGTCCTTGAGTGACTTGATAGATTTCATCAACTCATTTGCTAGGTGAAAAGTTTGTTCTAAGAATCTAAGGCAGGCATTGTTGGTACTTTGAATACCATCTCATCCAGAATCAAACCATACTAATTCTGATACATAATAAAGAATACCTCCAGTATTTGATCCGGTTCATCAAATCTTGTGTAGTTACATTCTACAAGCCTGCATCATCATCAAAGCAATACAAAATAAAATTTTTTTTTTTATTGAAAAGAGCAATACAAACTTAAATAAAGAAATCTCATAAAGAATGCTTCCACTAACTCCAATTATCAAAAATCAGTTATCATAACCCAAGTAATACGAATCAAATGAATAGACCTCACAGGTTCACCTCGTTATCATGGCCCCACAGGTTCCACACATCAGTGCAACAAGTCTTTGGCAAATCATTGTGCTATTAATCACTCCCAAATCCAACACACGAATAAAAGAAAGCTGAAAGAATTCAAACACGAATTGCACTCAAGGAAAAACATTTTATTCACAAAACACAGAATACATACTTTAGTTCACAGTACGATAGTAACAGTAGCCATCCCAACAGACGCTCTCACATACCAAGGCAATTCATCAAACATAAACCGCTCTTAACTCTACATTTATTGCATAACTAAACAATTACTACCAAATCATTAGTTAACCAGAAATCTGAATGGCTCTGACATCAGTCTTCTTGGCCTCTTCTTTGGGGATGGTGATGGTAAGGACCCCATTCTCCATGGCAGCTTTGATCTGATCCATCTTGGCATTTTCGGGCAGCCTGAACCTCCTCATGAATTGGCCGCTGCTGCGTTCCACCCGGTGCCAAGTGTCATTCTTGTCTTCCTTCTCCACGTTCCTTTCGCCCCTTATCTGCAAAACTCTGTCGTCCTCGACCTCAACCTTAACTTCCTCTTTCTTAATCCCGGGGAGGTCCGCCTTGAACACGTGGGCTTCCGGGGTCTCCTTCCAGTCCACGCGGGCGTTCACAAAGGATGATGTCTCGCCGGCGAAGGACGATGGGAGGGAGATGTCCCTGAAGGGATCCCAAACGTCCGATGGGAATGGGTCGAAGATGCTGCTTCGTCGGTTGCCAAAGAAGCTTGGAATGAGCGACATTTTCAATAGGATTGGAAATTGAAGAGCTTGTTGGAGAATTGAAGGAGACGGATGCTGTTTGCTTGCTGTTGCACTAGGACTCAGCTATCGTATTTCGTTGATGGAGGAAGGGAGCGAGACGATGGGCTATTTATTCTGTTCGACGAGGAGTTCTCGGGTGCTTTCTGGATATTTCCAGGCTTCACTCGTTTGGATCGGAAGCTTGCAGAAGTGAAAAGAACTCTCTAGGCTTCACTCGCTTTAAGTGGATGGGCTGAGTGTTTTATTTTTATGAGCAGTATGGAGGACATGAGTCACATCAGGCCTATTATTTTTTGAGTTTTGTTTTGACTTAGCACAGCCCATCTCAGAAAACCCAATGGACAGTGGGTCATTAAGTTGGGCCTTTAGTGGAGTAATTGTCACTTGTTAAGCAAACTCAATAGTCAGCCAACTTCAAATTTTACTTACAAAAAAGGAAAAATTTTCTTTTGATCGAAAGCTATCTTGACAATAATAAAGCCTCTGTAGGTAGTTAACATCGTATTAACTTTATGCCGTCTTCAAATTTACCCTTATCTCTATTATCAATTTCTATTATCCATTAAACATCTTTTATCACTTTTTAAATTTTCATTTTTATCCTTACTGTCCAATTATATATAACCAACATAATAATTTTAGTTGCAACTATCAATAGCTTTAAATATCCAAACTTGTTATTATATTAAAAAAAAAAGTTTAATTACCAAACTAACTACTACCAATTAACATAACTACCAAAATAACCATCAATTCATTAAAAAAAATTCCATAAAAATTAATTTATCCTTAAATTGCACACGCACACATGGGGTGTGCCTTTCGCACTAGTACCTACAATTAGGCAGCATCATCTATAAAAGATTTTGGTGCATGGTAATCGGATACACAAATTTTACAATTCAGAAGATGTTCTGTGCCCCACTCCTTTAAAAAGATGTTGTGTGCACCGATCATCACATCTGCACTCAGGAAAAAGCCGATTTCATTTCATTTTCTTTTTAGGAAAGCAGATTTCATATGATATGATGAACCATTTCCCGTTGCGGAATCCTTCTCACAAGGACAAACGCCGCTGGCCATTGGCACAAATGCTACAATTTTGTATGCTCTTTATAGGAGGAATGGAATTGTTATACCAATCAAATCATCATAGCTGTTGCCACGAGGATCTGCTCTCATAATTTGGATAGCACTTACGTTCATATGATTAGGGGTAATGAAAAGCTAAATTAAGAAGAAATGTTTTTAAAAAAGAGAGATCCTGCCATCATTGAGCGGAGGGAAACTAGGCTTAGCTACGTCGTGTTTGTTTAATCAGATTTAACAGGATGGACACTGGATTTTTTTCAATGCTCTGACCAATCTTGCAGGTTGTAACTTTCTTCCCTATGCCAATCCTGATTTCTTTAGATTTTCTCCATGAGAGAAATACAGAAGCATGCAAGAGCAAAAACCACAAGAGAGCAAGGGCATTCTAGATAACGCAGACGCAGAGAGGACTAAAAGTAAATATTGAACACAAACACAGTCGCGTGGAAGAGGAGATAAAAATTGGACACTATAACATCTCAGAGGAGATTTTGCAGCGTAGAAAGTGGTGGCGACTGCAAAAGTCAAGAAAAGGACTGCTGCCAGTCTTATAATTGTTCAAGCAAGGAGAATTGTGTCTCCCGCTGTTGATTGATTGCACCCAAAAACTCCCTGAACTTACTACTGTTACCACCTTTTCAGCTGATTACTGACCATGGACATGGTTGTGGATCTCCCTGCATTCGGGACAAATTTTGCAGGCCTTCAACAAGAAGAAGCAATATGTTTTTAAACCCGGAACAGAGAGTGATTCGAAAAGCCTTTCTGTTCACGGTTCGATCAGTTCATCGGTTCGACTCCAGTTCAAATATTTAATAAATTTTATTCATTTTTGTATTAAAATTTTTGAATAAAACTAAAATAAATACTTAATAAAAATTGGTTGAACCTTCCAATTTTTGTCGGTTCAACTGGTTTTTGACCGGTTCAATCAATTATTTGAGTTTTTAATTGAATTAGACCGGAGGCATGACCGGTTTGCGGTTCAATCGATCGAACCGTCCGGTCCGATCCGATCTTTCAAAACATTGACAAGAAGAGGATTGAGAATTTTTTATCAATCAAAATCAGCACCTTGAGGGGCCAAATCCTTTTGGAACTGGAAAAAAAAAAAAAGAAAAAGACTATAATTATTGTTTGAACCTCTCAATTATCATTGGTTTTCACTTTGTACTCTAAATTCTCAATTTTAACACTTTTATGCGGGATGCCATCAAAGTTGTGATCCTATGAATTTTTTCTTGCTATTCTTTTATTGTTAAAACCCCTAAAACTTGCATGCATTTACTGAAATTCTGCGGCTCCTTTTAGGTGCAGTGGGACATCCTTTTTATTCAAGCATAAGTATCAAAATTAATTGATTCCCAATCCATCTATCTAAGCAGCGTGCTACAGATTGATCATATGAAGTACTTATAATGAATTTGTGATTGAACATTGCTACAACAGAGATTGGAAAGATTTCATCATTTTTCGAACACAAATGATCGCTGATATTAGAAGCAATAGTCCCCAGAAAGAGAAAAAAGCATACGAATTGTACGAGAAGTGATTGGTCCAGTGCTCAACAAACCGTAAGAATTTGGATTGTCAGTTTGCTTCAAAAAAATTTTATGATTTTCGTGAACTCATTTCTTACTCATCTATTTATCTTCCATACAGCGAATCGTTACGGTGCATTAAAAATAGTAATTCAAATGAATCGTTATATTGTCAGCATTTTTCAAAATACTATTGGTAGGCTAAATTGGTAAGAATTGTTTTTGTTCTATTCAAGCAAAAAGAGAACAAATCTTATGACTGATCCAAATGCTAGAGCTTAGGCTAGGCCGATCCCCCAATCACCCAATTTTACTCTATCGTGAGACCAGCTCACTGCTGCTCTCAGGAAATATGGACAAAGGCCTTCACAGGTTCGTACATACTAAAACTTCGTACAATCAACTTTTGTTCGTACATACCAAATTATTTGCTATTGACAAAGGCCAGGTTCATACATGCTAAAACTTACAAGCATTAGGGCCGGAGGTAGATGGTACATCTCAGGAAATATGGACATCGACTAGACCAGACAAACAAAGCCAACCCATGCTGAGAAAGAAACCACATAAAAGCTTAATGGTTGCCTGCTGGGGCCTGTGTAAGATTCACATCACACGGTTTCTGTAAAAAAGCTGCACTTTTTTGTTTTCAGGGAAATTTTCATGGGATCCTCTCCTTTTCTTGTTCTTTTTATGATTTTGGACCTTTGTGGTTACCTTTGAAGCCTTTTAGGTGGCTGTGAAGTTGAGTTTGGTGGTGCAGCCTAAACGCGTTTCAGAAATAGTCCTCAATTGAACTTTATCTATTTGGCAGCAAGGAACACGCATATATATATATATATATATATCATTGGGCTCGTTTGGCAAATAAATTTTCTTGGCGTTTGTCTAAAATTTTATTATAATTTACTATAAAAGTTATAGGAAAATTTTTTGAATATTTTAAAATGTATAGTTCAAAAATTTTTAAATTTTTTTAAAGTTACTATAATTAAAATTATCAAAAAATTTATAATACATAAATTTGATCAAAAATTTGTTTGCCAAACAGGCTATTTGAAGCCGAAATAGTCATTTTGTAAGCGAGTGGAGATTTCAGATTCCATGTTTGATTGATTACACGGAGAAGAGGTAGCCAATGCAAGATCATATCGTTGTACTAAAAAGCGGACAAAGGTCCGCCTGCTATTCGACTTGACCCAAAAACAAATGGAAAGAGCAGAAAATAATCTACAGGGCGTTGAAAGTCATGGAAATGCTTAAGTAGCAAATATCTTTAAAAGATTTTGGTGCATGGGTATCGGACAAACAAGTTTTTCACAGTTCTAGAAGAACTGTCCCATGCTATGTTTCGTAGCCGTAATCATGTCTGCAT